GGAACGTATAAATAATAGTTCTAAAACGCTTAAGCCATATACGAGACTCGCGATTATAAACCTAAAAAGATAAAAGACGGAATAACCGCTATTACGTAGAAAGTAATTACTACTTCTCCTACGTAGAACTAAACCCCTAATAGAGTTCTACTTCTAGATACTCTAAGCCGCGTAACGGCCTAGAGTAGCTAAACTTTTCTACTATTCTAGCGTATAGCGCTATATACCCGACCCGCGTATAATAGTCGTACGCGTTAAGTATACTCCGCGCACCTACTTATAATATAGATAAAAGCGGATATTCTAAGGGATATAGGCTACGGCTTTCGCGCCTAGAAATTTTCTTAACGACTCTAGCTGCGAGCTTTTCTCTTTCTAATAAGAAAGGTTTTTCTCGTAGAAGGTATATAAGGTTCTCGAGTTTTTTTATTCTTTACGGGGTCGTAGTCGACCCCTATAGTAGGGGGGGTAGTATAAGAATCTATAGCCGCGTCTCGTATACGCTTCGTATACGAGATCTATAGAAGTTACGTACTAGTTACGTAACTCTCGCTTAGCTATATATAAAAGCCCTTCGGCCTACGGGCGAAGGCCGAATTCCTTAAGAATTCGTCTATTAATTATAAGCCCTCTTCTTATATCTATCTTAAGCTCTCTATTCGTATCTTATACCTTATAACTCCTTAATCTTACTAAACTACTTATAGGGCTTTAGACGAATATAAGAGGTAAGCCGAGCGATTAAGTAAACGCCCGTAATAATTCTTAGGCGGTTAGAACCTTTATATTATTATAAGATAATTAATATAAGATATCTACTATCTATAAAGGCCTAAGAGCGACTCTTCCCCGATTACTAGTAGATATACTACTACGAGACGTTATTAAATACTATAAATACTTTAAAGTAGCTAAATAGAAAGCTTAGCTAACTATTTAGAGTCCTCCGTATCTCGCTAGACACCTATAGAAGCGACCTTATAAGTATCTATTACTATTAAGTAAGATATACGTCCTCTACTCCTAGAGAGACGTTTCTTAATACTAGATTAACGATATTAATACTAGCTACCGCGAGTTCGTACGCGAGTATAAGAGAATCTACTATAATAATAATAATAGGCGCCTATCGGTATATACTCTATAAGTTTATAGCCTTCTATACCTCGCTAAAGCTATTTATAATTATAAGTTAGCTCGTTATTAGTAGTAGTTCTCGTTTAAACGTCTCTATAGCCTTATAAAGCGCCTCGCCCGTAATAAGGCGAAGTTAGATATAAGTATAACGAACGAGATAATTATATAAAAGTAGATATATCTATTAGAGCTCTTTAAACCCCTAGTAGACGATAATAATAACGTATCGTTATTATAGCTACGGCTATTAGGTAAACTACTATACGCGGCGATAATACCTCGTAAGAGGCGTATACTAGGGAAGATACTACGATTCTTTATTACGGTTAGTAAAGATAAGGATACCTAAATAACCCGTTTCGTAGAGGAATATACTAGATTTAAGCGGTATCTTATCTTAAAGAATATTATAGTATACGATAGTATCTTATCGTAGCGCGATTACTTAGATAATCGTAATAATACCCGTATATACTATAATAGGAGAGTGTCGGGTAAGAATAAGTATACCCGTATCTACTATTATTTAAGTATTTCTAACTATAGCTACTACGCTTATATAGAAAACCTCCGGGATATATAAAGAAGCGATAATAAGAGAGGCTTACTAATTACTACGAGCGCTAATAGCGGCGGGCGGCGGAGGTTTTATTTAGTAAATAATATCGTATATTCTATAGATATTATAACCTATACGAATATACGCGGAGGATAGATATATATAGTAGTTAGCCTAATCGCGCGCTTATTATAGTAGCACGATCGTAGGGGGGGTATTAGAAGAAATATCGGGGGTAGTATTAGTAGTAATTATTAGGGCGGTAGGCGGCGGCGGCGGTAGCGGCGGGTTAGTTTAAAATACTATATAATATCGTAATATTTCTATTTAAAATACGAATATTACTATCGTTACCCCTACCGTTTCTATATAATCTTATTAAGAAACTATTAAATATAGTAATTATACTATTATAATAATAGATAACGCTATTATAACGCCCGGAAACGGCTACTAGGTATACCGCTATTAATAATAGCGCCACTATTAGCCGGGGGTACCCTAGTAAAAGTATAGTTGGGATTAGGAGATATGGTAAAGTTATATAGAGGTAAGTGCCGGAATATCTTCGTAAACTTTTAGTGCTTTTAATCTTCCGCTACAAAGTGTTCGAGTCATACTAGTAGACGTAGGCCAAGGACTAACAGGTGGTGAAATGGTTTTTTAACGAATACACCCATAGTTTAAAGGAGTGGAATTGACACGGGAGATGCCGTTGATTCTCAAGTCCGGCTACTTACCGAATCAGTTAAACCCGGCAAATCTCGGCGAGGCTACGGCAAAGACGCCGATCACGTTACCATGCTGTTATCCCTCCTGTTTACCTTTGCATTCATAGGCACGCAATGCTATTGGCACATAATACTATGTAGTCCGATTCTGTAGATCTACTACTAAGTGTTGCTTGTGCCTGCTTGGCACGTCGTTACGTTTTCGCGGCCGATCTTTCTTCGGGATTTCCTCTGCCGCGACGGAAATTGCAGGTGTGGGAGTTCTCGTATCGGTACTGGATCTTACAAAGGTCTACACGGAGCCATGGTGCGGAGGCGTTTAAAACAATCCAGCGCAATGGTCTGCTATTGGCCGCAACACTTTCCCGTTACGGCCGTCATGGTTTCGCCTTGTTTCAGGTATATCTCAACACACACCACTCTCGGTTGCTTCGTGTTGTTCTCCCCTATAAAATATATAGGCGTCTGCAGCTTCGAGTTCGCAAACCCGTCAACTCGCCGCTGCCTCTCCCCAACGTTCTTTACTCGACACTCATTATAGCGAAAATGCGCTCCACTTCATCCGCCGTTGCCGTGCTGGCTCTTGCATTGGGAGCTGTAGCAGATGACCAATGGCACTTTGGCGACACCGTCTACATGGGCCCCACGAGCGGCAGCACGTACATCAAGAAGGCGACCTACTCTCTCGTGCCGCCGGCCGCGCCTAGCGATTTCACCCAGAGCGACTGCTGGATGAGCATCTGGGTTGGTTCGTGTTTCCAGCCTCTGCGTTCAGTTTCACAGCACTGATGATCAAACGCTAGGCATTTCGGCTACCCAGAGCGACAACGACATTCCCCTTATGCAGCCGCTGTTGAACTGGGCTCCGGACAACGCAGCCGTGTGAGTTGCAAGATGCATCCGATATTGGTGATACACTACTGATCCATGCGCACAGTGGCTGCCCCGCCAACAACGACGCCTGGTGCGTCGTTGCCAGCACCCTCTTGCCTAGTAAGTCGTGACCTTGCGCATGGAAGATTCCAAGGCTAATATCTCGACAGCTGGCCAGACTGCTGAGCCCTACGTCGCGGTCCCCATTGGCTCTACGATGGATTTCGAGAGTATGACGCCCCGACGACATCAGTTCGATTATATGGCTTGAGCTAATTCATGCAGTCGAAACCGTCTCATCCGGCACGGTTGAGCAAAAGGTCTCGATCAACGGCAAGGTCGTCTCGACGCTGACCAACAGTAAGTCCCTACCACGCGGGTCCAAAGTCTCCTTTACTAAACCGAGCAAAAGGCAACATCGGCGAGAACCCCAAGTGGGTCATCGCGTCCAACGAGTGCTACTCGGGCCAGTGCGGAAGCATAGAAGCCTACAGTAAGTTTTCACCCCCGCGTCGGCGGCGCACGTGTACGGCTGTTGATTTGTTTTACTCGCAGCTTGGTCCAACATGACCATCACCCTGAGCGCCGCGGACACGAGCTTCGGCAACTCCCTGATGATGGAGGGAGTCACCTCGTCTGGCTTCAAGTCGTCTGACAACGGCGTTACCTGGACCGGCGACTTCAAGTTCGCTGCCGAAAAGTTCCCCTCGTCGTAAATTTCGGGTTATTCCCGCTTCGATGGTTGAACCGGTTTATACAAGGATAGTTTTGACATTGAGAATCCAAGCCGTGAATATCATCAATAGTGTGCTTCTTGAGAATCGTGCATATTGAAGTTGGCTCTAGAGATGGAGCCAAGAGTGAGTAGTGGTGCACGTTCCCGATGAAGGTTGAGTTTAAGCTTAGTTTAGGGTTAACGGCTAACCACATGGCCGGCGTCGGTTGCGACCCGAGTGGATATCCCCAGCGAATAAGGCTTGGTTTTGTTTAGCCAAGAAGGTCTGAGCAGAAGAAAAAGCGGTGCACTTCAGCGCTGCCGCTTGCGCGAGCTCAGCCTCTGCTGATGACCCTTCATGGTGCAGTGACAGCCGGTACTGGAGGACGAGAATGCGCAAGTAAATAAACATGGAGTTGGCGTCCAGGACACTACTTTGCCGCTGGGAATAGTGGGCTGAAGGATGGGGTCAGTTCTGTGGTGCGACGGACGAAATCACTGTGTTCTGGTGTAACGCAGACACCGAGGGTGTGGCTGAGGTGTTGCACCCGAGTAGCATCCGCCGTTTTCTGCCAATACCCGAAGAGAGGTTGGGCGGTTCTACGAACCGTGGGTGCAGTCGGCAAGCCGTAAGGAATCCGGACCAAAGTTGATCTGTGGTAGGGCTGAGGGCGCGTGATTGAAACAAAGGAGCTAGGCGCTACCAGAACCGCGAAGGTGCTCGACGGACAAGAATAAGTATCCATCAAGCCAGTCGCTGACTGTGCCGCTATCGGCCTACCCTGCGAGACCCCGCCTCGTATCACGGCCGCAGTGCAACCACCGGCCACCAAAAACAGCGCAATAGCCGAGCCTTATCTTTTGCCGGCCTGGCCCGCACGACAGCCGAAGCCCAGCTCGCGCCATCCTCTTACCCTCGCGCCCCACGCGTTCTTGCGCCCTCAACTTCTGCCTCTTTTTTTCTTCTTGCGGATTCAAAGGCACCATGGCTGTGGACACGGAAACCACGCCGCTGCTGGCCCAGAAACAGCCGCACGACCAAGACAAACGCGAGAAAAAATGGGTCGAGGCCAAGATACTGTTGATGGGCTTCATCATGAGTCTGTCGCTGTCCTTCACCCAGGTGCCGTGAGTCAACCCGATCAGTCCCACAATCCACCAACTCACACCCCTTCAGCATGCTCTACGCCTTCCGCCTCATGACATGCGACGAGTTTTACAAAACCCATGAGATCCCGCCGCCCGGCCATGACCGCTGTGCAGTCCACGAAATCGAGGCCGAAACCGCTCGTCAGGTCACGCTAGTCGGCACGTCGACCACCATCGTTGGTATGCTCCTCCCTAACCCCCCGCCAAGCACCCGACTGATGCCCAAACAGGCGTCATGAACCTGCTGCTCAGCGGCTACATGATCAAAAAACTCGGCCCCCGATTCGCCATGGTCCAGCAGACCTTCTTCCCCGTGATTCGGTTGATGTGCCAAAACGTCGGAGGCAAGCCAACTATGCATCATGCCCTTGGCCGACATGGCAACTAACTGTACCGCAGTCATGGTCGGCGGCATGACCGGCATCATCATCATCCAGTCCACCCAGCTCATCTGCCTCTTCGGCGGCCCTGCTGGCTACATGTACGCTGCACATTCCCCTTCACCAGCCCATGCACCCCAAGACTGATAGCCAAGGCTCGTCCTCAACACCTTCATCTCCGAAGTCGTGTCTCCCGCCCAGCGCACCGCAGTCTTCGGCAAGCTCCAAGGCATCATCATGTTCGGCACCGCCCTGGGCTACCTCCGTAAGTGCCGCCACCGGCCCGCCGTCCCCGCCACGACCCCCGCTAACAACAACATGCACCCCCCCAGTCGGCGGCGTCTTCGGCGACCTGTTCGGCATCCAAGCACCGTGGGAGATCGCCATGTGCTCCATGGCCTTTGCCACCCTCTACGCCTACTTCTTCCTGCCCTACGTGCCGCCGCCGAAGCAGGACGAAGAGTCGGAGAAGAAGCAGGGCCTGTCGCGCTTCCTGGGGCCGGCCAAGATGCTCGCCCCGCAGAGGTGGCGCCTCCCCGACGGCCGCATCAAGCGCCACTTTGGCGTCCCGCTGCTGTTCGGCGGCATCTTCACCGGCGTGCTGGCCACGGGCTACATCCCCACCCTCATCCAGATGTTTTCGACCATCAAGTTCGGCTTCGGGACCAAGGAGGTATGAATGCCGCGCTCTCTGTCTCCCTTCCCCCCCCCTACAGCCCATCACACAGCGCGCTGACCCGCCCCGCCCCCCGCGGCGCACGACAGAACGGCGTCCTGATGTCCTACTACTGCGTCATCCGCGGCACCTTCCTCACCTTCGCCTTCCCCCACATCATCGACCACGGCCGCAAGTGGTTCGCCACCTCCACCCTCTTCAACCCCCACGCCTCATGCACCAGTACGTCCCCAGCGGCGGTACTCCCACCCGCCCCATCCCCCCACTCCGCCCACCTCGCACCCCCCACCACCACCACCGCCACCACCCCGACATCCAAACGCTCCCGCCGCGTCTCCGCCGCCCAAGACATGGAAGCCGCCATATCCACCTGCCTCGAAGACTCGGCCGACCCCTCGACCGCCATCCTCGACCCGACACCGACGTCGACGACCGGCCCCGCATCGCAACAGCATTCGAGCAGCGCCTTCGACCTCTTCTTCCTCAAATGGAGCCTCGCGGCCGACGGGGTCCTGACGGGCCTGGCGGCGCTGTGCGCGCAGTCGTGGCACGTCTTCGCGGTGGCGACGCTGCTGCCGCTGGCGTCGGGCAGCGCGTCGGCGGCCAAGAGCGTCATGATCGACATGTGTCCGGCGGCGCAAAAGGCCGACGCGCTGGGGGCGATTAGCTTGGTGGAGATGGTGGCGACGCTGTCGACGTGTGAGTGGTTTTCGCTCTTTCTCTATTTCTCTCTTTCCCCCGTTTTCTGTCTCTTTCTCTCTCTCTCTCTCTCTCTCTCTCTCTCTCTCTCTCTCTCTCTCTCTCTCTCTCTCGCTCTCTCTCTCGCTCTCCCTCTCTCTCTTTTTCTTTTTTTTTTGGTTGCTCGACCCGCGCTGATCATATGAAAATAAACGACAAACAGTGTCCGTCTTCGGCCTCGTCTTCTCCTCGCTCGCCGAGGTGGGCCGGCCCAACCTCGTCTTCGTGTGCAACGCCGCCGTCGCCGTCTTCGCCACCCTCATGCTGCTCGGCTGCCGCTTCCCGCCCGCGGGGAGCGAGAGGGTGGATCGGCTTAATGTGGACGATGATGATTATGATGATGACAATGAAAATGACGACGATGACGTAGGATCGGAGGGGGGTGGTAGCGATAGTAGTGGCGGTAGCGAGCGGAGTGAGGGCGTGGAGAGGGTGGTGGTGCTGCCCAAGGGGGGGAAGTGAGTGAGGGGGTTTGGACGAGGTGAGCATGCGCGCGGTTGGGTGGGTGAGTGCTGCTGCTGGGGGCGTTGTGGAGGAGAAGAGGAGGAGGAGGAGGAAGGGGAAGAAGAAGAACGAAGAGAGGGAGAGAGAACAAAAAAGGTGTGATGCATGGTCTCGGTGTTGTGGGTCAAAATATCTGGTTTCTTTCCTTCTCTTGTCCTTGGCGTTCGGATGCTGCATTACATGACAGATTGAGAGGGGGAGCAATTCCCAAAAAATTGTAGGTAGGTATCTGATCTGATGAGTCAATGCTGGCCGGGAATGATTGCGAGACAAAAACGAATTCGGTAACCGCCTCCTTAGTTAGAATTTCAGCTTTTCTAGTCTCAAAAGTCGTAGGTTATACATCTTTAAAATCACACCTTCGCTCGCTTGAGGAACGACGGATGCTCCCTTGTCGTGAAAGCTGCCCGTCACACTTGTACAACGCAGTAAAGTTGAGTCATGAATTTTTGATTGTGTTTTCCATTTCCAAAGAGAAGGATTAGTAGATACATACTGCGAGGAGAAACACATCGCCGGAAAATGAAATGCCGTTGCAGCTCCCATTGCTTGTCTTAACTAACGTGGGAGTTTTTTCGATGACGAAAGATGCGGAAGACGAAAGACGTGCGAAATTTATAGAGAAAGTATGGACTCTGAAGTCTCCAACGCCATCTGGCACCCGCGGGCTCTGTTGCTGAGCATGCATCCAACTCTTGCTTCCCCTCCGCTCCTAATCCCATTTCTTACACACCAGAGTCATCCACCTCGACCGAGTTCGCCTCGGCATACGTCGACCAAGCCGAGCACGTCGAGTTCAGCGTATCCGAATCGATCAGCGAGTCCTGGACCTCGGTGTAGCGCTCGAGAATCTGCAGCGCGAAGCCCTCGGACGTGTGCCAGCCGATGTGGCAGTGCATCAGCCAAGCGCCCGGGTTGTCCGTCTCGAACGCGATCACGAGGTAGCCCGACGCATCCAGCGTGGCCGTGTCGCGACGGGGCGGGTTGTCCAGGCTCAGCGTCGTGGTGCCCTCCTCGTAGCTGCCCGTGCCCGCGGCGAGGATGAAGAAGTCGTGGCCGTGAAGATGGATGGGATGCGGCACCGCGTTGTCCGTCTCGATGACGAAGAAGTACCACTCGTCGGCCGTGTCGAGCTGGACGACGCCCGACGTGTTGGTGAAGTCGAGGTCGTCATTGTAGACCTGCAGAAGCGTCGGGTCCGCCCAGTCGACCTGCATCGAGGTCGAGTTCATGTACCAGCGGAACAGGTTCTCGGAGTTTTGGCCGACGGTGACGGCCTCGGCGAGCGAGGTGCCCGAGGTGGCCGTCTTGGACACGTAGGGGACCAGGTCGCTGCTGTCCTCGTCGACGCAGGCGTCCGTGTAGTCGTAGGCCGAGGTGGTGGGGGTGTCGGTGGACGAGCCGTAGTGCACGATGCCCTTGATGTCGTCGCTGTTGTCGTTGTCGGAGCAGGCGCTCTGCGGGATGGCGCGCATCCAGAAGTCGGAAGCCACCGAGGCCTGGTCGGCGGTGACGACGATGTCGTAGCGCTGGCCCATGGCGATGTCGAGCACCGTGGTCTCGTAGGGCTCAATGGGCACGAGGTCCATGGCCATGACGGTCATGGTGTGGTTGTCGATCATGAACTTGAAGTGAGTGTCGATGGCGCCGTTGACCAGGCGCATGCGGTAGCTGGTGCCCTCGGTCAGGTTGACCTCGAAGCGCGAGCCCGTCACGGTGCCCGAGTCGTTGTAGGTGTTGGTGCCGTTGATCAGGCCGGTGTCGAGCGTGGGCGGGCCGCTGGCCTGGGCCGAGGCGTACAGCTCATCGACGGTCGAGTGGTCCCAGTCGTTGAGGAAGATCATGCCCAGGTCCTCGTCGTAGTTGGACGTGGCGGGGCCGTTGACGATGATGCCGCCGAAGACGCCCTCCCAGGCCTGCAGGCCGATGTGGGAGTGGTACCAGGACGAGCCGTACTGGGTGGCCTTCCATTCGTACGTGTAGCTCTCGCCGACGGCGATGGGGCACTGGGTGATGGACACGACACCGTCGTTCTGGTTGGTGTAGTTCTGGCGCATGCCGTGCCAGTGGATCGAGGAGCCGTTGCCGCTGGTGGTCAGGTCGTTGGTGACGTGCACGCGGACAGTGTCGCCCCAGTCGGCGAAGATGGTGGGGCCGGGGATGCTGCCGTTGACGGCCATGGCGGAGCGCGAGACGCCGTCGGGCGAGACGGTGACATCGCTCACGACGAACCAGTACTCGCGGACGACGCCCGTGTCGGGGCCGTCGTTGTAGTAGTCGGTGCTGATGTCGTAGTCGCACCAGGTGGTGCGGTCGTCGGCAGTGTTGCCCGAGCAGGTCGAGGTGGCGGCCGAAGAGGTGGCGGTCGAGGTCGAGTTGGTAGAGACAGAGGCAGAGGCAGAGGCAGCGGCCTGCGGGGCGGCGGCCGAGAAGCCCAGCAGGGCAGAGGCCGCGAGGAGGAAGCTGGACCTCATGGTGGCGGACCGGAGAGAGCGAAAGACAATGGAGGGAAGCGAACTGAACTGGCTCTTCAACGAACGCACGCCAGACTGGTAAAAGAGTGAATGGAGAGAGTGATGATGATGGAAAAGGCTGATGCAGTGAGGCAGGGTGAGGATCCCAATCTTTTATCAGAGAGCCAGAGAGCCGTCATGGCTGGCAGCGCCCGATGAGGAAGACACCATCCGTATCCGCAGGAGCACGGGAACGCGTGGCGCTGCAGGAGGGCACTCGTGCCAAGTGGGCTCCGGCCATGTCGCTATGATCTGCGGCGGCATAGCACCGTGTAAGCCTCTGGGCGAGAGTTTGATAGATTGAGGGGCTCAAGGCCCCAGGAACGGCCGAAGAAGGCGCGGTAGGGCGGATGGCAGGGCGCAGGGGCCGCCATTGGTCGCGACTGGCCCGCGGTGGAGGCTCTTCCGGGCCAGGCGGCGGCGGCCCTGTCCGACCTGTCCGACGGGCGCCATTTGCAAATGGCCCCAGACGTGCGGGCAGCTGCGGCCATGGCCAGGCGTCGGAATGCCGATGATCTGCACATCCGGGCGGCGCAACGACTGACGCGGCCTTGGCGATGCCTGAACGCGTCAGCCCCGCGCCGGCGATGTTTTGTCGTTGGCGTGTCGTTGGCTCTCCTGGCAGCCTCAGCCCACCGACGATAAGCTCTCGGCCAGGACGGGCGCTAGGGCGACGCGAGGCTTGGACGTTGTGATGCGACAGCAATACTTGCCGCTTCGGGCTGCAGTGCGGCGGCAGTGGCTGCCGAGGCGTCACTGCTGCGGAGAAGCAGGAGCCACGGGGCGGGGAATTGCCTCGGCGAATTGGCGCCGCGGTCGCTGTCGCGGGCGCAGTTGTGTCGTGTCGTGCCATGCCGTGTCGTGTCGTGTCGTGAGGCTCGGAGTTTCTGGTGTCGGAGGTTGAGTGCTGGTGCTGTTCCCGGCTGTTCCCTGCGCCTGCTCCATGCTCCATGCTCCCCCCCATATTGCTCGTTTGCTGCCGGGGGCTTGCAGGGCTGAGCTAAACTTAGGCGCCCGTTCCTGGCGGCGTCGTCAGCTCAAAGGCGAAGGCGCCCCTGTCGCTTGTCACGACAAGCGAGTACTTTCCCGATCATCGGGCCGCTCACAGCCTTCACGACTGCGTCATCCCCCAATCGCGCCCGCATGGCCAGCTGCGTACGTCCGCCGGCCGCGGCTCAATCGCCTGTTTCAACCTGAACCTTGCTTGACTCGACATGCCGCCGCCGTGCGCGTGGGCCGCGACGCGTTCCCGCCGCCAGGTCCACTCAGCCTCTCCATCGCAGCACACTGGCGCATTTGCCCTTTGCGGCACGGATGCAGACGCCCTGGGTATCCCAGTGTCCCACCTGCGCCGAGTCAGCGCCATTGGCTCGTGCCCTCACTACCGCAGGGACATGGGCGCCCAGGCCCGCCGGCTCAGCCCAGCGGATAGCCAGAGCAAAAGAAAGACTTACGCACCTCTTAGGCCTGCCTCCGCGTATATACCCCCAGTGTTCGCCAGCGACCCAGATATGCGAAACGAAGGCCTCCCTTCTCTCTACATTGTTCAGTCGTTACTCCAAACAGGAGCTGCATACATCCCTACGCTCTTTACTTTTTAACCAACCAGTCCAAACGCCATCATGGTCTCCATCACCTCTCTCGTCTTGCTCGCTGCCTCCAGCATTGCATCCGCCGCCTCTGTGCCTTTGGAAGCCCGCGCTGCTGCTTTTGATTCCAAGATGGTTTATGCCTACGGCGCCACTCCCGACGCCGGAATTGGCGGCGTCCGCTTGACCTACGGCGATGGTGAGCCAGACCAGAAGCAGTGAAGTTAACTCGACGCTGACCGCCCAAACCAGGCACCGCCTTCGTCGGCAACCGCCCTCCTTCAAACGTCTCGGTGGCCTCCAACATCACCTTCTCTTGGGACTCGTCCTCGGGCCCCATCGGCATCAGCCCCAACTCGTCCAACGTCACTTTCGGCCAGAGCCAGTACTTCTACATCAACCCCAACGGCAGCGCCTTCGACAGCGTGCAGATCAGCGACTCGGCCCCCTCTGACAGCTACACCGACACCGGCTTCGTCTTCTACGGCAACTGGCTCTTCTGGAAGTCGGACGCCGGCAAGCTGGAGTCCAAGTTCTACGCCACCCCCTCGGACGAGAACGGTGTCTGGACCCTGAAGTGGAACGCGGGCAGCAGCGACGACGGCACCAGCGTTCCCATCTCGCTCCGGACCATCGCCCCGTCCGAGAACAAGAGGGTTTGATCGAGAACTGCGAACTGAGGATGAGAACGTTTTGACAGAGGGGTCGAGCACGAGACGCAGAGAAACGAAATCCGTGGCAGCCACTACCTAGCCTCCTTTAACTTTTGCCATTCTCTTCTTTCTTGCTTTCTCTTGTTCAAATAGCAATACGAACGTGTTCCCGTTGATTGATGTTCCGAATGCAATGCCTATCTTGATCTGTTCCGTGCACACTGAGCGCTGACTGCTCCCTCGCTCCCGGCATCTTATTGCCGGCCCATAGCCGCGATCACCTCCCGGCTTGCCGTCTCCCGACCAGCGCTCCGGCCGTGCTGATCTCCATCAGCCTTCTAGAAGTCACACGCCCTCACCGTCTTTCTATTCGCCACACCAGACGGGCCTTCTGGGTGTCTATGGGAAATTCAATAGTCTATGTTTCACCGAAGCGTGGGTATTGATCGGCCGGTGCTATGCAGGTTTTCTGAGACATGCAGTTGTGCCAATGCTCTTTTTGCCGTCGCCGATTGCCGATCTTGCCCTTTGTCGCGCTGTTGTTGAGAGCTTCTAGATCTTGCAGCCTTACACCGAAATTTGGGCGATCAATAATGGGCTGTAAGTCTCGATAGTCGATAGCCCAAAAAGCAAGGGCCAAAGCGGTGAGGTTCTACCGGCCACTCAGCCCTATGTTGCCCCAAGCGGCTCTCTGGAGCCCTATAGAGCTAGTCTGTGGGACTTTGAGACATGGCAATTTCTCCCACCCCTTTGGCCTTTCTTTTTTTTTCCGTGTAGTAGTCCTTGAGCTGACGAGTGGAGAACTAGGCTCGGAGCTGTGTGCAGGAGAAATAACACCGCCCCAGGGTCGCCGCATAGCGCTACTGGAAAGTCTAAAGAGCAGGAGTGCTGGGCTATTGCTCCAGGGTTCGCTCACTGCAGGGCTGCAAACAGCTAGCGCCACGCGCGGAAAGGGCACACGTGCCGCTGCTGACGCGGCCGTGCGGGTAAACGCTCGAATGGCAATACGCATGTGGGCACAGCCACTGGCGTCGCCTTTTAGTTTCAATGCAGACATCGTGGGGGCGGCTGACGTGCTGGATGGATCGGCTGCTTCTGCCGTCCGCTTGCAGTGCGTGGGTGGGTTGCTAGAGGTCTGGATGACTGGAATAGCGCCGGTCACTCGCCGGGTGCTGGAAAAGCGGCACATGCTCGGGCTGATCACACTTTAAGGGTATGCACGCCGTCGATGGTCCATCTCTTGTTAGCATGGCGCGCATGATTGCCGCCGTTATTACTCCGGCAGCTAGCTGGTAGTGAGCCGCACTCAGTTGTTCCTCCTGCCGTGCCGGCGGCCTGACCTAAGCCGCAATGGCAGGTGTAGAAAATCAGCATTGACGAACTGTCTTACTGCTAGACATGGGCTCGGGCGCCTAAACAGCCGCGGGGACGGAGCGTGTGCGGTCGGTGTTTATGCCTCGGACGTGTGATTTTGACGGTCTTGTTATACTACAGCAGTGAATTCAGGCCGGCAGGCGACACCTATTTCCTCGGTGACCTGTTCACTTTCCGTGCGATCTGTATGGCTCGCATAAATCCTGCTCATCCTCCAGATCTTGCCCTTCTCAGTATTGATCCTCGGAGATAGACTCGGCCTCTGCTGATCTCCGAGCCACACTTCACACTATACTCGCACCGCCACACCCACAACGGCTGCGCAAACACGTCCTTGTCGCACCGTGAAACTAAGCACTGCCAAGAAGACGGCTGCAGCCCCCTTTCCCGCTGACTCGTCCGCGTCATGCAGGCTTGTCGCCCGGCGTTTCGTCCTGCAAACACGACGTCAGTTGCATAGCCACGCATCACGACTATTATTGTTTTCGAACTGGAAAACACCGTCTTCTCGAGGACGGCATGAATCGAGCTGAAACCTGGGCAGGCGCCTGCGTTGTCCCGAAGTCATATCGGAGAATTTGACGGGAATCGATTTTTCCATGTCCAGTGTCCGTTGTGCCGCCTGCAAATGTGGGCTGCCGATGCAAGCATAGCAGCCTCAACGAGCTTCAGTGATGGTGATGCTGTAGTGCTTACCACAAAGATAGATGGTCAAGATGGAGTGATGGAAACAAACGAACGACTGCCCTCACAAGTCAAGAGCTATCGGCCACGACTTTCTCGGGCCGGTGATACACGCCGCAATGCCTATCAGCCGCTGATAAGAACCGGAGCTCTACTCTGACCTCCACCAACTCACCCCACCACCGCTTCCCACGATGCACCACTTCAATCCTCCTCCTTCTCGGGGAGCGTCACAGCCCGACAATCGCCAGCACCGCCATCCACCCTGACCAACCAACAACAACCCCACCTCACACAAAAACCACCAACACAATGGCGCCCCCACGTGCACCACCACCACCACCACCTCTGACCATCAACCCCCCGCTCCTCAACTCCGCCAACCCCTGGGCGACCACCCTCTCGCACCTCCTCACCCTCTACGCCAGCCCCTACACCGGCGCCGTCACCACCCGCACCAGCCTCCTCGACGGCTACCCCCACGACGACGCCATCAACCAATACACCTTCTTCTCGCCCACGACCCAAACCCCCAGCACCTCTACCACCGACCCCTCCGCAACCAGCGCCAGCGCCAGCGCCAGCCTCAACACCCTCGGCTACAGCCCCCTCCCGCTTCGCACCTACCTCTCCTTCATCACCACCATCTCCGCCGCCGCCACCGCGTCAGCTCCCGCCGAAAACGAAAACGGACTCGGCGGATCAGGCGGCCTCCGCCGCGACAAACCCATCATCGTCTCCGTCACCGGCTCGCCCGCCGACGTCGCGCGCTGCTACGACCTCATCCGCCGCTGCGCCGCCACGGTCTGCATGCCGCTCGCCATGGAGGTCAACCTGTCGTGTCCGAACATCGACGGCGGCAAGCCCGTGCCGGCCGCGTACGACCGCGCGGCGGTGGTGGCGTACCTGGTCGCGCTGAGGGGGGCGGTGGCTGAGGGTGTGGACGCGGACGGGGACGCGGGGGACGGCGAATCAGTCGAGGGGGATGGGGAGAAGAAGAAGGCGGTGGTGGTCCCGATCGGTCTCAAAACACCCCCCTTCACGCACGCAGGCATGTTCGCTGACTTCGTCGCGGCGCTGACCGACGTCCTCCCCACGCCCATCTCGTTCGTGACGGCCGTCAACACGCTCGCGCCATCGCTCGTCCTCGTGCCGTCCAACCCCAACCCCAACCCCGACGCTCCCGACGCCAACACCACCACCACACCGTCGTCGTCGCTGCTCCGCCCCGCCCTCGGCAGCGCCACCGGCCTCGGCACGGGCGGCATGGCGGGCGCGCCGCTGCACCCGCTCGCGCTGGGCAACGTCTTGGGGCTGACGCGGGCGCTGGGCGCGGCCGAGGCGCTGCGCGGCCGCGTCATGGTCGTCGGGGTCGGGGGCGTCGAGGACGCGGAGGGGTGGAGGCGGATGAGGGGGGTGGGGGCGGGGGCGGTGGGCGTGGGGACCGCGTTGGGGAGGTTGGGGGTGGGGGTTTTCGAGAGGATTTGGAGGGGCGTGGAGGGCCGGGCAACGGCGGGGGCGAGGCTTTGAGGTGGGTGGGTGGGTACGGTGTGGCGTGTGAGGGAGTGAGTGGGTTGTTTAGCGGTGTTCGTGTCAGAGGGTTGCTTGGGGTTGGAGTTCCCCGGCGATTGGGGAGGAGGATGAGCGCATGGCGGATGGGGGAGAAATCAACTGTTGAGTTTGCACGTCGGTCTTGTTCAACGGTTGGGGGATCGCAAATCCGTGAGCAAGTGGGCCGTGGAAAAGGGATCCTTCAAGGAATAATCTATCACGATTTGAAATGCGTTTCGGAGTTTGGACAACATCCGGGCCTCCACACGAGAATCCGCCGGACTGTTTTGGGCTGCGTACGAATCCATGACTACCTGTCTCGCTACTATACCAGAGTTTCAAAATTTATCAATTCGATGACATTACCAGCAGCTCGCCAGACCTAAGAATTACCGATTGGACTTCCTGATGTTTCTCTGTACTCCTATTCCACTCCACCCGCCAGATATATCCCATCTCACTTTGGCAAAGTAACTCGCTGATCTTGTCGACCTGAGTGACAGCCAGCTGAGTCAAGCCACTGTAATACCCAAATCGTCCACTCATACACTCTGTACCATTTCTTCCGGATAGAAAAATCCGATATATCTAGCTGCACCAAGTGGTGCCACCTTCTAATAACCTTGGGCAATGCAACAGAGTGACCGAAGCTTGTTGTGAAGTCTATGCTAGCAATATGCCAGTATTGCTTTGTGTCATCCACTCGCTTTACTGGGGCCGAAGCTGGATTTAGAGTTCCGCACCCCCATACGCTCGAAGTGCTTATTGTAGTAGTATATGCTTACGGATAAAGGCATGACGACCTTTGAAATATCCGAACATCTTGCTGCTTTGTAGCTTTATCCACGGTTGCCATGCCGGATTTCATATTCACACAAAATTGCTTTACGAAATCTTGGTTATTTGTCTGTGTAGTTTGGTAATATCTTAGGTGCATTTTGAGATTAACATTGGTACTATATGCATATATTACTGTTTATTAAATCGCTATCTAGGATTAGGTCGAGGGAAGAAGCGCTACCAAATAGAGGACTCTAGAAAGGCATCCGCCTCTAACGCTGACCAAAGATAATTCCACCTGCATCTATGGCCGCAAAGTTATCACGAAGAATATTTTAAAGGGAGATAAAGTCGCAGTATCCAATACCCTAACCATCTTCAACACGTAGATCGTCTTCTTGGAATGGATGAAGAGCTGTGACGCTTGAATGGACCATCTCATCATCGTGAAGACCGCTCATACGGTCAAGAGAGAGACAATAAGAGTCAACAGGACCACTCCAGCTCGCGAAGCGTAGATAGGGACTAGTTATCGTGCGCGCAAGGCAGCGTTGGGTTGAGGGACAGAGTCAGCCACTAACAACTATAGCGGAATAAACAGTGCTTCGTGAAAAATTGATTCATTGGCATGCGATATATTTTTTCATGGTCGACCCTCACCCCAACTCTGAACCTTCTATAAATCTTTCCACCCTGACTCCTTGGCCTGTACGCAAGAGCCTCCGCAGAAAAACTCTCGTCTACTCTCGTTCAACAACTGCTCCGTAATGCCATACTCCGTAACAGATCGTCGTAAGCTCCGACAAACGCGATGTATGTCTCAAAAATCTATAATCAAGAATCGAAAGAGAAAAAAATAGTCTAGAATCTCTAGCGTCCGGTAGGTCTACGGGTTGGGGTTGTAGAGCTTGGCCATCGACTGCAAAAAAAAAGTTGAAACGTCAGTTACCTGCACACAGCCGAACAAAACCTCACAAGAGGCAAAAAAAGAAGAAAAACCAAACGGCAAAGAGAGGGGGGGGGGGGGGGGGGGGGG